TCCTTTCCTGTTTATCCCAGTGTGCCCTATGAATATTATTTTCTATTTATGTCACAGCAAGTAAATGTTTGGGACAAAGTGCTATAGATAGCTACTTTTAAGCTTTTCATTCAGATTTTCTGCCTCTATTTTTACCTGATATTCCTTTAAAAAATTTGTAACAAAATACAACATATGTAAATTACGTGAATAATACATTTACAGATTGATGAATGGCCACATTGAACACAGTCATCATGAATAGAGTATTTCCAGTACTCCAGAAACCCTGCTTTTGACCCCTTCTGGTCACTAGCTAATACATTTACAGATTGATGAATGGCCACATTGAACACAGTCGTCATGAATAGAGTATTTCCAGTACTCCAGAAACCCTGCTTTTGACCCCTTCTGGTCACTAGCTCTTCCCAAAGGCAGCTACTAACCTGATTCTAACCACCTTGGTTTTGACAATTTTTGAACTTTAAATAAACAGAATTATAGTGTGTTTTTTTCATTGTGGACTTCTTTCGCTTAACAGTATTTTTGTGAAATTCATCCATGTTGTTATGTGAGGTTGTAGTTTATCTTGTTGGTCTGTAATGTTTTGTTATATATGAGTGTATTGTGCATCACTTACCTCTTCTGTTAAAAAATAATTGGACTGTTTTTAGTTTGGGGGCTATTTCAAATAGTGCTACTATAAACATTCTTTTACATATATTTTGGTAAATGCAGTTATTCATATTGGGTATATATACATATCCTTTAATACATGATGCTAAATAATTTTCAAAGAAGCAGTCCTAGTTTACACTGTACAAAACTAGATGACAGTTCCAGTTGCTCCACATTTTTACCAACACCTGGTATTGTCAATCTTTTAAATTTTAGCCATTTTGGTAGATGTCGAGGTATTACATATGTTTTTTATTAGTATTGTTCTGATATCTAAAAGTATAGCTAATGCTCCACATCATTCATCTCTTTTTCCTCCCTCTCCAGAGATAACCAAAATCTGAAGTTAATATTTCTAGGCATATTTTGGTATGTTTACTAGATGTGTATGTATCCATAGTGTATACAATTGTTTTTTTGCTTTACAATTTTACATATATATTGTAATAATATATTGAAATTATACGTATATAATTTCAACTTAATTTTTCTTTCATTAAACATGTTTTGGAATTACTCATGTTGATACTTACAGATTAAATTCATGAATTTTTATTGCTATGTAGATAGCATATATTTTATTCCTTACCCTAGTAGAAGATAGGTTATTTAAAATTTTTGCTGTTAAACAGTGCTATGACATACTTGTGTATTCATGCACAAAATTATTATGGTAGAGACCTAGAAGGGGAAGTGCTGAATCTTTGATTTTGCACATATTTTTCTCTTTAATCAACATTGTGAAATGGCTCTCCAAAACAGACTTAATAATTTATACTCTCACCAGAATTTCTTAAAATTTGTTTCTCCTCCTTTCCTCAATATTTTTGTATTAGTCCATTTCTGTTGCTTATAACAGCAATACCTGAAACTAGGTAATTTGAAAAGAAACAATATTTATTGCTTACAGTTTTAGAGGCTGGGAAGTCCAAAGTCCAGGGAACACATCTGGTGAGGGCCTTTTCTTGGTTGTGGCTCTATAGTGATGTAGGGTGTCACATGGCAAAAATGGCAGGAGCAAAGGGAATAACATTCTCACTCTCCTTTTAAGGTCATCAGAACCATGCCTATGACCACCATTAAACCATCAATGAATTAATCCATCCACTAGGGCATGGTCCTCACAATTTAATCACCTCTTCAAGGCCCCACCTTTCAACTACCATAATAGTATTTCTCACCCTCTTAACTTTGTCTCAGTGGGAGTTAAGTTCCTAATACCTGGAACCTGGGGGAATGCAGTTTAATCCATAGCACTTTGAATTGCTAGGCTTTTAAATTTTGACCAATCTGGCGGGTATTAAATGGTATCTCATTGTAGTTTTGATTTGGATATTTTAAATACTATCTAGATTTTCTCTTCTATAAAATCTCCTGTTCATATCTTTGCCTATAATTTTTTGGGGTTGTTTGCAGTTTTCTCACTGAATGGTAGTTCATTTATTCTGTATACAACTATTTTGTCAGTTACATGGGTGTCAAAACTCATCTTCCTCATTTCTGATTTGCCTTTTTATTTTGTTTATGATGTTTTCACTCATGCTGAAGTTTTAAATTTCAATTTAGTTGAATTCATTATCTTCTTTAAATTTTTGCTTTTTATGTCTTATTTAAGAAATCATTCCTACCTCAATATCATAAAGGAATTCTCCTACAGTTTCTTATAAAAGTTTCATATTTTTACTTTTATATTTAGGTCTTTAATCCATCTGGAATTTATTTTTATGTGTACTGTTAAATGGGGATCTAATTTTATTTTTCTCCATATGGGTAGCCAATAGTCTCCACAATACATCTTTTCTCACTAATGCTAATACAACATAAACCATTTACTAAGTACCCAAATTATGTGAGCCTGTATCTAGGTTTTCTATTCAATTACATTTTTCTATTTGTTGACATATGACTCTATATGTCAACGTTTTAATTACTGGAGCTTTATTATAAATAAAGGTATTCTTTTGTTTGTGTTTAAAATTGTCTGGGCTTTTTGTGGTTCTTTACTCATCCTCATGAATTTTAGGATCAATTCATCAAATCCCATTAAAAAACTCTGTTAAAATTTGATTTGAATTGCATTGAATTTATAGAATATTTAAGTTCCTTGTAGTTTTCATACCCCAAATTGTTTATTATAGTTTTGTTGTTTTATACAGATAATATTTTAGACTTACCCTGTGCTGTGGACTGAATGTTTCCCCCAAATTCATTGAAGCTTAAATTGTGTCCCTTAAAGTTCCAAGTATCAGAAACTTGGCCCCCACTATGACAGCGTTGATATGGTGGAAAATCCTGTTATGGTAATTGAAAGGTGGGTCCTCAGATAGGTGACTGGATTGCAAGGGCCATGCCCTAATTCATGGGCATGGTGCTGAGGGCTTTAAAAAGACAGCATGTGACAGTCTGTCTCTGCTCTGCCATTCTGCCACATGAGACCCCTGCTTTACTGCCAAGGAAGACCCTTACCAGATATGTTTCCTGGATTTTGGACTTCCTAACCTTCAAAACTGTAAGCAATTCATTTCATTTACTTACAAATACAGTTCCAAGTATTTTCATCATAAGCAACAGAAATGTACTAATATACTCCATACATTAAATGAATCAATTACCCACTATTAGTCGTTGTATCATACTTTTTTCTTCTGAATTCCAGTTTCATCTTCCTGAAGTACACCTAATGGAATTCACTGAGTGTTTATGAATGGTAAAAATTCTTTGTCTTTGTCTGAGTATTTCTTTATTTTGCCATCATTCTTTGGAGTGAATACTGGGAGTCACTACCCAAATCCTTCATAAATTAAGGACTTATTTACTGAGCTGAAAGTGCAGCAAGCTGACACAATTCAGCTGTCAGCCCTCTTCAGTAGTTTAGCCCAAGAACACATCCCTTTCCTTTGGCAGCCGTCATCCAATGACTGAATGTCAAAGGTCTATAATAGACCCAGTCCACTTGCTCTAACTTAAGATAACTCTGAAGGGACATTCCAACTTCAAAGCTGAGGCCTTCACTGAGACTACATTGCAGACCAAATCTTCCCTTAGTCCAATCCAGCTACCATCCCTCCCACAGGTGTTGCTCCCCAAACCACTCCCTAATAATACACTCTCTATACTCATTTCTGACTCAGTATGCTTTGTAGGGAAACTACCTAAGACAGTCAGTGCCAAGAGTGGTCCAAAAAAGTAGAAGCTAGATGGAATTTATGATTTGAGTTATAAACCACCTAATTGTCAATGAGGACTCCCTCATAGGTGATGGTTTTAGGAGAGATAGACCTCGGCACAAGGTAACAGTGCAGTAGAAGTTAAAACTTTCATCAGTAATGCACTGGGACAGTATTCCAATGGAAGGTAATATACTACTGGCTGCAAGATATCATGCATTCAAGAAATATGAGGGAAATAGTAATCTGAGGGACACTGGCATTGACTGTTGCTAAGAAAAATAGATTCTTTGGAAATAGCAAAAAGCTGACAATGGTTAATTGACCATTACAATCTAAGAGTAAAATCCAGAAGGCCTCTTTGGTAGCAATTAAAGAGGCTTTTATCTCCTGCAGTGGGAAGGCAGAAAAAGCTGAGTAACAGGCTCAGCACTTGATCATAAGTGTGGCAGAGTTCCAAAGGAGATTAACTATGAAACCCAGCTAGGTTGCCTATGCCAAGGTCGGCGTGCTGGATTGGAAAGAAAGAGACCCTAATGCTGCGAGAGGATGGTCAGGCTTCAGTTAAGGATGGGCAGAGCACACAGCAGAGGAAGAGAATGTGGGAGAGTTAGCTCACAAAGGAATGGAATCCAGAAGGCACAGTGGAGATGAGAGACGGAGGGGGACAGTATGCAACTTCAGGCAATTGAAAGCACAACTTGTTCAGCAACCAAGAAAAGGATGTTAGGCACGGATGTAGGTAGTGGATAGGTTTCCAAAAGAATTAGGCAAGAATTTGCTGTTTTTGAGTCAACTGATCCAGTACCAAGTTGGTGAGTTTTTTCCTTTTCCTTTTAGATTTCTCCTTTTTCTGAAAAAACGAAATTTTGGGGCCTTCCGTTCCCTTCCTTACTTCCCTGTTTCCCATGCTCTCCCTGGCCTCACCTCCTTCCTCTTACAGGTCCTCTGCCCAGGAATGGGAGCCCCGCCCCCACGGGAGGGGGCGGGACCGGGGCGGAGCAAACAGAGGGGGCGGGTCCTCTCCCGTCGACGTGTGCCGTGAGGACGCTGTGACGTAAAAGGACATCCGGCCCTTCTCCTAGTGTCGGAAACCGGCTCTGTCAGCCTTCCTGGGTCTTAGTAGCTTCTTCCACGGGGTCCTGGTTCACAACTTGGAGTTACTGCTGCCACCGGCCGGCCTCACGCCCTTTCCCGTTCTTCTGTCCCCGGAGTGAGCCTGACCTCCCCGCGAGGGTGAGCGAGGTCGGGCCAGAGCGCCCGCGAGGTAGGGGGTCCCGCGGGCGGGTGACGGTTCCCCGAGCCGCGTGGCGCCTCCTCTCTGTCTCCTCTGGACGCTCCCTCCACCCCCTGGGTCCTCCAACTCCAGACTTCACTTCTAAAGCCGCAGTGACCCTTTGCCTGTGTCCATACTCGGTGACACGGGTAGTGTCCAGAAGAAGTTGGAGCGTTGCTCGAGAAGGGCTTGAAACCATTTAAGGCTGAGAAAAGGGATTCACTCTTTTTCATGTCCAAAACAATTGGAGGGGGAAAAAAAACTGAGGCTCATCCTTCTCAGCGGATTCACAAGACACCCCTGGGGACGCGTAAAATTCGACTGTATGATCACCTCATGATTATTTTCTGAGCTCCTGGGGTACCGTCTGGATTTTGACATTTTAAATATGGAAGGGCGCCCTACTGGCTTGGACTTTACCTAAGTAACTACTTATTAAATCTGGTGGCTCCGGCCGTATTTTTGAGTCGCTACCATCCTCCCTACCACTTGGTTTTTGGTTGGACATTCCATTCAGAAAACTAAAATTTAGAAAAATCTTGTTTTCTAGGAGTGGTGGTTCTTTCAACTAAGTGTTGAAAGTCGGTTTTAAAGTCCTTACTTTGTTATAACAAGGTACTTGAAAAAGTTCATGGGGAATTTCCTATTATCTTTCAATTCTTTTTTCTTCGAACTTTTTGAAGTACCCCTGTAAATAGTAAACATACATTCTTAAACATATATTTGAACTCTGTTAAAATTAGAGTCGTATGCTCACTGCATGTAGAGAGAAGAGTAGTTTTCAAAGAGTCAAAACAAGTGTAATATCTACATCTTTTCAGAGAATGGTTTGACTTTGTAGTTTATGGTGTCATTTGTTGACTGTTAGATGTTTTATTTAGATATTACATAGGAAAAATACTTTAAGTTTTGGCAGTATCAGGTCATCTGAATTTATAGCTCAAAAAAGTGATTTAAAGTGAATAAATAAGGCACTTTAAAATGATTTCTTATTAATGTTATATGCCTAATGAATTTTTTTTTTTTAACGAGGGGCAGATACTTAGAAAAACTTTCTTAGTGGGTAAAAGAAACTACTGTACTTTGGCTTTTAGGATAATTTTTTTGGTTTCAACATTTTGTAGAATTGCCTAGTGCAAATAAATGCCTTATTTTAAAATCATTACTTTATTTTCGAAAAATGTGTGCTTAATGTTTCATAAAGGCTTAAAATGTGCTTAGCCATAAGAACGACAGAGTTGTATTTAAAATTTGGATAATAACAGTACTTCATTATACTATTTCTTAGTTTATTAAAATAGTAAATGCAACCAGGCAATTATATCTTTTCTGTTCTCTTCTGTAGAAAGAGGGGGAAATGCCTAAAAAAAAGACTGGTGCGAGGAAGAAGGCTGAGAATCGCCGGGAACGTGAAAAACAACTGAGAGCCTCAAGGAGCACTATAGATTTAGCTAAACATCCATGTAACGCTTCAATGGTAACAGCTTTTTTGATATTTGTTGATATTTGAGAAGTGATACAGTATTTTATCTGAAATACACCTGAGTAAAATTTCAGTGTATAGAGTGTTCCTGCAGATATTTTATTACTGAATTTGAAATCTGTGTTAGAGGCACATTCATCGTTTCCAGGTAGCAATGATTTGTTTGATTTTTTGTTATTTATAAAATGTAAGGTACTGCCTCAGATATTATTGGTGATGAATAGATATTGAACAAGAATATATAAAAGGAACTGTGTAACATTTTCCAGCCTCTCTAGCCTTATATGCCTTAACTCAATTTGTCTTATCAGTTGGGTTTTTATTATTTTCTCTTAGCAGTTCTTAACTCATTTGATTTCTTTTTTTCTGAACTTTTCATTTTTCCTGACATCTCTTTTGGCTTCCTGTTGTTACCTTATCTGCATATGTTGAGTGTGTTAGTCCTGATGATTTCTGGGCTGCTCTGAATGGTGAAAGTTGTGAAAAAGCAAAATATTACTATGTCATCATTATCTCTTTCCTTTCTTTGACTGTGTTTCTCTGAGTTATCCCATTTCTCCTTGTTTTCACTCCTCTACCTTTTCTATTCCCACTGTTTCTCTTGATTTTTTTTCTTTTTTTTTGTTTCATTGAACATACATGAAGTGCTTAATGTGACTTAATTTAGCAAATGTTATTGTCCATCTGTTCTGTGCCAGGTACTGTATTAAGCACTGTGGGGAATACGTAGATGAGTGACATGGTCCATGTTTTCTCAAGCTTATAGCTCAGTTGTGTTGTGTATTACTTAGGACTTGTTTGTTTATAAATGACAGAAATCCAACTTAGATAACTTTATAGAAAAGTAGTCTATTGAATGCATAAAGGGGGAGGATATAGCTGGGATTCAGGATAACTTGTAGTTCCATTTTTGCTTTTGTTTCTTTTACTCTGGTTGTTTGGCTTCATAGTTACTGATGGCTTGCATTTCTCACATCATATTGTTGCAGTCAGAGAAGGAAAGAACTGATAGGTTGAGCTTGAGCCAGTACCCATCCCAGGACTAATGTTTATGGGGAAGGGAGGCAGGATTACAAAGCACAGATGTGACAGTGGGGGCTCCCTTCTGTGTGAGGTGTGCTGGGGAGACAAAACAATAAATGACTGACCTATGTAAATATATATATAATGAGAGCTAGATTTTGGTAAGTGCTTCAAAAAGGTGCAATGTATTCATTAGAACTAAGAGGTGATAAAGTTGGGTGTGTGTGTGTGGGGGGGTGCAGTTCACAGAGGAGGTGGGATTATTACCAGAACTTTCAACAGGTAGAGATTGCAAGGAGGGACTTTTCAGGAAAAAGTGTTAGGATAAGGCATGGAGAAGAGACAGTTGAGGAGTGGCTGACCAATAGTGACTTGAATCTAAAGGGAACAGGCAAGCAAAATTTGAAAAGTGGTTAGGGATCAGATTGTGGAGAGCTTTTAAAGTCATATTTAGGAATCTGGATTTTGTGTGGGCTTTATTATTTTGTGTTCTCTGTTTCTTGTGTGCATGCTGTAGTATTTGATTCCTTAAAAAACAATAGAAAAACAAACCACCACTGTATTTAGCCTCCTTTGTGATAATGCCACTTTTTCCTCCAGTGTGGTATGACCAGAGTATACTTTGTTGCATACCTTTTTTATTTAAGAATGTGCAGATGCTTGGGTGGGATTGGAAGGTTTGGAGTAGTGTCACTTAAATCTTAACATGAAAAACAGGATATTGGGTGTAATACAAGTAGATTTGTATTTTTTTATCCAGCAGAAAAATTAATGTGATATTTTTACATTTTACAGGAATGTGACAAGTGTCAGAGGTAAGTTTTATTTATTCTTTTTTCTATTTACATGTAATAAAATAGTCCCTCTGACCTTTTATCTGATATTGACTGTATTTTAAAATTTTATTTTACATGACAAGGCGGCAGAAGAATAGAGCATTTTGCTATTTTTGTAATTCTGTACAGAAGTTACCAATTTGTGCACAGTGTGGTAAGTATATGATGAGTAAGGATATGTTCCTATTCTTTTATCAAACATTTGTTTTGCAGTTTGAACCTGTGAGTTTGTCTTTATTGTTTACAATAATGTTATGCCTAATTGTTAATAAAATAACATACAGTGTTGTTTGGCCTCCCAAAGAACTATCACGTCTTGGTTTTGCCTCTTTGATGTAATGCTGGAAAGTAGTTAAGGTACAATTTACATGTAGGTTACTAACAAGTTGTTTTAAACATTAATAGATTTGATTTCAGGCTAATAACATTTGGTGATTCTGAATTTTTTATTACACCACCTTAGTCACGTCAATATCCATTTGTTTACTTTTCTATAATTTGATTCCTGCTTAAATTGCCAACCGTCTGTTAGACTATTGAGAATAATTTTACTCCACATTTACCTGGTGCTTATTTTGTGATCAGTTGGGTTAGGGTTAGGGTTAGTTTGGTACTTATCATGTGATTCTTGAATTTCCTCAAATGTATTCCCCAATGATTGAAATACAGTTCCTAAGTCATGTATCCAGTTCCCAAATATAGGTGGAAACTTTTACGGTGAAATGATTATTCAAAATAAAACTAAATGGTGGTTTATAAAGCAGCAAGATTAGTGTTTCCCAAATAGTCTTCCACAGTCTACTGAGATATAAAAGGTATTTCTTGAAAAAATATATACATTTGAGAAATGCTGCATGATTCATCCCTTCATTCCCATCTGGGAGATTTTTGTTACATACTTATATATTAAAAGTGCTGAAGAACTGCAGTATAGAAACCTAATTAACTTTATTCACTCCACAGTTGCCCCCTAAATTTTATTTGGACAGATATCCTTTATTTATGGGATAAATAAGGTGGAACAATTTGGGAAATGCTTGCTTAAATGAGTTTATGTTTTATAATATGGAAGAAAGTTAGTCGTGGTTAGGGCTACATCCTTGGATATTTCTAGTGTAGTTCTGACTTTCAAAGAAGACTTATTTTAGTTCTACAATTAATGAAAAAGAGAAAACTGGCCTAGATGTAATACTCATCTGACAGTTTTTATATCCTTATTTTACAAAAGGTTAATGTAGAACGAGAAAATAGATTTTATGGAAGATTAAGAGATGAGGTCTTGTTAGGACTTTGCTATATTTTCAGTGTCTCTGGGCTTGAATTTTGTAGTGCTGTACATGGATGCATTTTCCACTTATTGATTCTTAAACTTAGTATTAGACAATGAACAGTTGAGTAGCTGCTGCCTCTCATTTCCAGTTTCTCTTTCTTTCCATTTCCTCTTTTCTAACTTTGTTCCTTAGGAAATCAAGATAATATAAAATTAAGTATCTTGTTTCATTTGTGTTCTGTTCCACTTTGTGTAGTCTCAGATGAGTGATTAATATGTCATCATTAATCCTCACATAGTATTTGATACATTGATTTCCTGACTGTTTTTTGGGTTGATAATTTGCTGCTAGATCAGACCTCTTGTGGCTGTGTTGTGATTTTTAGCTGTATCAGTGTACTCTTATTTTTTGTACTCACTTAGGCACTATTTCAAAATTCTGTTTACCTGTGATAAACAAGTTGCATACTCATGGTTTGGTTTGGTTTGGTTTGATTTGAGGTGTTTTGTGGAAAGAAGTGATAACTTCAAATCAGACTGTTTTTATTGTGAATTATAAAAAGTAAAATTTATTTTAAAGCATGGTTTTTAAAAATCTTTTTTGATTTATCTGAAAATTTGATTGGATTTTAAACTGTTAAAATGATCATTAGATTACAAAGCATAATCTGCAATTTCTGATTTTACTACAGACATGAATTAGCATAAAAATTACTTTATTGTATAGTACATTTTTACAGATTTATTAATATATTTCTAATCTCAAAAGATCTGATTCAGGTAATGAGATCTCAGTTATGTCCATTTTCTCTTTATAGTTATGTAAGCAGTAAATGACACTGATTTCATTCCATTTGTTTTTAAATTATTTCCATAGGAACTTGGGCTAGATAAAAAGAGGAATTAGTGAATTTTGTATGTATTACTTTGCAAGACTAATAGTGCAAGTTTTTTTCTTTACTAGGGAAAACAAAGTGCATGATGAAGTCTTCAGACTGTGTCATAAAGCATGCTGGTGTATACAGTACTGGCCTTGCAATGGTGGTAAGCGTCTTGTCATTATCTCTTAGACTGTAGGTTTCCAAAGATAATAAAAAGTCATTCTGTTCTGTGATTTTATGCTTTAGGTCCACATTTTAGTCCATGAGGAACATAATCCTATTTTTATGTTAAATGGAATATTTTATTTATGGTAACTTTTCCAAAAACATATAATTTTCTATCATGAGAAAGAAGTGTATAGTTTTCCCTTTGCTTTTTCTTTTGATTTATAGCCAACTTTTGTATAGTGTGGATAGCTGTTGGTGAAGTAGTTTTTCAGAGAACCTTCTTTAATTTTGGCTTAGAGAGAGCAGTAAAACCTTTTAATGAAGCTTCCTGCTATCATTGAGAGTTGATAAATTGCTAAGTGAATACCATTTTGATGGTTGCTATTGATTAAACGATGGTTGCAGCTGGTGACAATGATTGAGTTTTCTTGTTCCTTGATTGCAGGGTGCAATATGTGACTTCTGTGAAGCTTGGGTTTGCCATGGTAGGAAATGCCTCAGTACCCATGCCTGTGCCTGCCCTCTTACTGACGCTGAGTGTGTTGAATGTGAACGAGGTGTATGGGACCATGGTGAGTGATTAGATACATACAGTGAGCTTTGTTATATGTGAAGGCTGACTTTTAAACATTATGAATGCTATTTTTAATATTTTTTTTCATCATACTGTCAATCCTAGCTACTGGTACTGTTTTGATTATCAGTTTAGTTGGAAGTGGGATTTATACCAACAGTAATAGTCAGTGATGGTATTGTTTATTTAAGCATGTAGGGAAGGGAGTTGTGGGGGAGCAGATAGTCTCTTTGAGCAATGTGAGTGTTATATGAGTAGCCAGGGGATAATGGGAATCCGCTTTTTTATGATTCAATTTCAAATACTTTAACAGATTTTATTTTGGCTTTTACCAGAACAAACATTGCTGTGCAATTTTGGTGTTCCTCTGAAATAACTTGCCATCTCTTCTAAGCAGTTTTATATATAAGATTTTTTTATATTAAAGTTTATTGTATTTACATTTTTTGTTTTTTTTTCTTTTTTAATCTAATAGGAGGCCGAATATTCAGTTGTTCTTTTTGCCATAACTTTCTCTGTGAAGATGATCAATTTGAGCATCAAGCCAGCTGCCAGGTTTTGGAAGCAGAAACATTTAAATGTAAGTTTTTTGATATTAGATGTTCTTTATACCCCAGGTTCTGAATAGTATGAGTTAAACTTAGTAAAAAAAGAATCAAGATTTGTATGCTGCTCTTATAAACTGTATTTTAACTCAGTATCTATTTTCTGTTTCTAGAAAAAATTCAGAACACATAGTCCTAAGTTTTTCAACAAGGAATTCAGTGACATTATTTGGGTCAGTTCTGCATTTTGTAGGCTTTAGCAGGCATTGCAGGACTTACAGCATCCTGGTCCTGAGTACCATTTTTTTATTTTCTTTTTTTTGATCAGCTCGCTGGTATGGGCACCCGAACCTTTGACCTTGGTGTTATAACGCCACGTTCTAACCAATTGAACTAATTGGCCAGCCCCCAAATGTCATTTTTACCTTTAAGTTATTATAACAGTCAAACCCTGTCCTCTCCCCACTTAACCATTTCCAAGTGTCCTCAAGTAAATGCTACCACCCTTAGTTTATTTCTGCTAGTTGGTTTCAGTGATTTTTTAGACAGGAGTATGCATCAGAAATACTAGTGGAGTTTTTTTAAAAAATACAGGTGCTCAGGCCTCATCCCTGGAGATTCTGTCTTTATGTCTGTGGTGGCATCTGTATTTAACCTGCATCTGCTTGGCATTTGTACTTAACCTGAATACACAATTCTTATGCATTTTCCAGTTGAGAACCAATCTTACTGACTGGGTTGAGGTTAACTGAAATGGGAATCCATATAAAGCATTAATGTGTGATACCTGGAACTTTGAAAACCCTTATTAAATAGTAGTTATTATCATAGGAAAAAGACTGCAATTCCCCAGGTATTCACGCCCTTGAATATATATATATACACATGAATATATAATTCTTGCAATATTTATGTAGAAAATTCTCAAAGATATTATCATAGGAAAAAGACTGCAATTCCCCAGGTATTCACGCCCTTGAATATATATATATATACACATGAATATATAATTCTTGCAATATTTATGTAGAAAATTCTCAAAGATTAAAAGAGCATTTTGAAGTATGTAGCATTGTTGAGCCTTTCTTAGGCTTTTGCAGAATATATAATATAAAACTTGAATCATTTTATTTGGGGCTTGGGAGCTTTGTGTGTTTTATAGCATTTGAACCCAAAGGACAGGCAACTGTGAGTGATAAAGCTATAATTCCATCAAGAGCTTTTAGTGATTCAATAAAAGGCGAAGGAAAAATACAAGAACTGAATAATTGACAGGATTTTAAGATGGATCTATCTCCCACAGGTGTTTCATGCAATCGGCTTGGTCAGCATTCGTGTCTCCGTTGTAAGGTATACTTAAGTATTTTTTCTTTTAAGATTTTGTTTTCAATCCCTCTCCTCCTCCACCAGTCCTTGGATTATTTCTAGCTGTAATTAATCCATAACAGACCTTAAAAATTATGTAATTTATTTTCGATTTTGTGGAATTGAAGTGGAGAAAGCTTAAGTGACTTTCCAGTGGTCATCCATTTGGTTTGTAGCCGAATTGCCACTACTGCACATGTTTCCGGGATCCTGGCTCAGCGATTTTTACACCAATGTTTATGGAGAACATTTTGACCAAAGTTTTGGTAGTATATTTTAATTAATGTCAAGATGCATATGCTTAGAAGAGTTTGTGTAAAGTGAAGATTTTCATAATACTCTTGTTTCCTTAGAACTTGTCTCCAGAATTTCTCTTTGTCAAAGATTACCAAACAGATACAGCCAATTCATTTTCTCTCAGCAACATTCCTCTCTTTCTTACTTATATTCCTAACGTAATCTCTTATTTTTCTTCCAATCCTGCTCCAGTTTTACCAGAGGCTTTCAGTTCGTTGAAGATGTTCATGCTGTCAAGCTTTTAGGCGTTGTCTACACTGTTTTCTCTGGCTAGACCTAACTCATATCTTTGCTTACCCTACTGCACACCCATTCTCCTTCAGATCTCAGCTAAGGCTTCATATCTCCAAGAAGCCTTTCCTGAATCCCATGTCTGGTTTAGTGCCCCTCCTTTGCACTTCCTTTTCAATGCTTAGTGTTTTGTAATTGCCTCTCCACTGTCTCCAGTTAGACTGTATACTATGTGAGAGTAAATAGGCTGTTTACAATTAGTCATTAGGGACCTTGTAAATACTCAAATATTTATAGATGAGTAAATGTATCCACACATCATACTCTCTATATTGTTAGTCACTCTACCTTGTGTTAGGTCTAAATTCAGGAAAGTTCTGGCAAACCTATTTCCCTTAAGAAATTGAAAGCAGGAGTATGACTAGTCCCAACAAAATTCCTAATCTCTCTGCCTTAACAAAACTGTATCTTTAAATTTACTTGAAATATTAAATGATGTCTTTTTATGTATTTTTAAATTTTTATATATTTATTTTTTTTTTACTTCTCCTTGTAGGCTTGTTTCTGTGATGATCATACAAGGAGCAAGGTATTTAAGCAAGAAAAAGGAAAACAGCCTCCTTGCCCTAAATGCGGACACGAAACTCAGGAGACTAAGGATCTTAGCATGTCAAGTAAGGCTATTCTTAAGATACCAGTGCAGTGATTTTGCTTTCACACTTAAAGTGTTTTTTTTTTCCTTTCTATTTTTCTTATCACCTCTTCTTGCTATTTGAGAAGATGAATGTGTTCTCCTAAGCAAGTAGAATTTTACAGCTTGGAAAATATGTGGGTAAAACTTTTTAATTTAAGAAATATACCAACATTCACTTCAATATTTGTTAATTGCGTCACTCAGTTAATGACAGAAAATACTGAAATTTAAGATTAGAAAAAATGATTCTTTTGTTTTTGCTTAGGCTTTCTTGTTAAATATTTGAGTAGCTATAAAATCCTGAATACTCAGGGCCGGCCCGGTGGCGCTCTGCTACAGTGCGCAAAGATGAATGTGTTCTCCTAAGCAAGTAGAATTTTACAGCTTGGAAAATATGTGGGTAAAACTTTTTAATTTAAGAAATATACCAAGATTCACTTCGATATTTGTTAATTGCGTCACTCAGTTAATGACAGAAAATACTGAAATTTAAGATTAGAAAAAATGATTTTTTTGTTTTTGCTTAGGCTTTCTTGTTAAATAATTGAGTAGCTATAAAATCCTGAATACTCAGGGCCGGCCCGGTGGCGCTCTGCTACAGTGCGCCGCTTGGGAGCGCGGCGGCGCTCCCGCCGAGGGTTCGGATCCCACATACAGACCGGTTCCCGCTCACTGGCTGAGCGAGGTGCGGGCGCGGCACCGAGGGTTGCGATCCCGTTGCCGGTCCCGGTCCCGGTCCGGTGCGGGCGCGACACTGAGGGTTGCGATCCGTTGCCGGACACGAAAAAAGACAAAAAAAAAAAATCCTGAATACTCAAGTGGTGGTAATCTTTAGTACTTGGAAGTCAGATTCATTCTGAATTCTTAAGTGTGTGGTATTTGAGCCGCTGTGCTTATTGTGTAATAAATCACTACAATAGGAAATTATTTTATAGTTTTTATATAGCTTTTTTATGAAGGAATAAGACTACTACAAATGTGCATATAGTAATGCAGCTCACAATTTAAAGAGAAATTTGACTACGAGACATACAAAGATGGAACCATAATTATAAATGACTCTGACAATACTTTAATCAAAGATGTAGTTATACAGTGAGGTGAGACTTGATTTTGCTGGTCTTATGCACTAAACTTTGTTTCGTGTAGCTACTAAGGCAGAAGAAATGAAAGGCTTTGTTTTCCAGGGTATCTGCATTATAAAATAACTATCTTAAGAAAAATGTAATTGACCAACAGGAGGGTATTTTAGTTTTTGACATGCTTTATTGTTTTTGGAGAGTTTTATTGGTCTAATTTTGTTTTCTGTTTCTAGATTAATGAAATGACACTGTAATCTTTATTATTTGTTATAGTGTGTATAGACTTATCACATGAGAAAATTAGGAAAATATGGTCAATTTTTTCATTTGGGAGTAAAACGCAGGCAATGAATCTTATGTAATTTTATATATTATAGAGGAAAATGAGGAGGTAGAAAAGTGGAATTAAGAAAAGTGCTGTGTGCATGTCTGTCTTTTGTAGCACGCTCGCTGAAATTTGGCAGGCAGACTGGAAGTGAAGAGGGTGATGGGGCTTCTGGGTATGATGTTTACTGGAAGAACCTTTCATCTGACAAGTGTGGTGATGCTGGCTACCACGATGAAGAGGAGGATGAGTATGAAGCAGAGGATGATGAAGAGGAAGAAGATGAAGGCGGAAAGGATTCAGATGCTGAGTCATCAGATTTGTTCACTAATTTGAATTTAGGAAGGACCTATGCCAGTGGCTATGCTCACTATGAGGAACAAGAGAACTAGGAGAGCTCCTTGCCCAATGGTGGCCATGTGTGAGAGGAGCAGGAATGTGTGTGCTTGATGTTAAAAAATACCGTCACTTAGGCTTGTGCAAAAGACTAGTCATACTTACCAGGCCAAGGAATAAATAGGGCATAGCATTTTTCTAGGAACTGATAATCAGGCTTATAGCATAAGAACTGTGAGTTTCAAATGTAAGGTGTTTATTGATCCAAGCAATTGAAGCATCGTGGATTGTATTGTTACTGATTTCAGTAATCTGGTAGGTTTTGCCAATTAGATAATTATATACCAGGATAGTGGAATAGGATGGTAATATATTTGTTTGAAATTAAATTGCTGTTTTTGTTTAAAAAACACTGCTTATAAATTCATGTGTTTGATTTTATAAAATGTAATGGGTAAAATGGATTACTATTTTTCCTTTTATGTCCTCGGAATGAAAGTCATTTATTGTTATAAATTTTCATTAAATATTCATGTTGTCTTAAGTAGTCATGATATGTATTTTAGCAATTGACTCATTCATCTCTTTCTTTATAAAATATGTCCTGAACAGTACCTATTACTAATACCTAAATGTATTGACAAAGGTGACTACTCAGCCATTTTTCAGAGACATAATATCAGAAATAGTATTATAGAAGTTTTACCCAGGAAATTTCATTTATCTTTGAATAAATCTAGTATTTCACTTATGTGCTTTTGATATTTAATTTCTTATTCTTAGTTTTTCCAACTTATTTTGGAAAGCATTCCAATATTTTTGTATGAACCATTTGCTTCACTTTTTGCCTAATGTGGAAATAGGTAGCAGAGATTAATTATGTGGTAGACAGAAAGGTATGCAGCCCAGGCTCCATTATTGATGGTAGGTGGAGAACAGACAGTTCCTGGCACAAGTTCCAGTTGTTACAACTTACACTGGCAGAGAATTGAGATGGTGTAGTGGTAGAAGAGAATGCATTATCTGACTGGCTGGCATTTTAGATGTATGGAGAAAATTGTAGCTATGAGGATAACAAGGTCGGAGGCTATTGCTAAACCATTCTTGTCCTGTGGAAACAGTGAACAGCTGAGGGCAATAAAAAGCAATGGAAAGCCAGGTGTGAAAGCTAGAGGGCCTCTGATTGCACGTGAAAAAGCTTTTTATCTCTTGCAGCAGGAGGGCTGAGAAAACCAAGGACCAAGCTCAAGACCTAATAGTGTGAATGGATAAACTTCAAAGACAGTTGCCAACCTAGGCAGGACTATTATGCCAAGGTGAGGGCACTGTTTGGGAAAACCTGAGACCCTGACAAGTAAGGTGGAAACATTAGAATGGATGCTGCTGAAGATTTTTACTCCACAGGCTCCTGAACTTTGTGAGCCTGGAGTCATAGCCCACCCCTCCCTGTTAAGGATGAGCCTTCCTCCACCCCATTCCAAAGCAGAATGACAACGAGGCTTCTTTTACCAGGCAATACATGCCCCCTATCAGGCCTTTCCCTGTCTCCAGGCAATTATAGTTAAATCATCTCCAAGCCTAAAATTAGGGTTAAGTAATTATAAGGTTAAGCAAAAATCAGTTGGAGAGGTGCTGTACCTGAAGTGGGAAGAAACAGACCATACCCCCAAAGAAATTGCAATTAGCCAGAATCTGTCTCCAGGCAATTATAGTTAAATCATCTCCAAGCCTAAAATTAGGGTTAAGTAATTATAAGGTTAAGCAAAAATCAGTTGGAGAGTTGCTGTACCTGAAGTGGGAAGAAACAGACCATACCCCCAAAGAAATTGCAATTAGCCAGAATATACTAGAAAGAACCAGCGGAGTATGATTGAGACTGGAACCAGAGTTCTTAATCAAGAGGATCAGATCATAAAATTAGAGAGTTTGATGGCAGTCCCCATGCAGGATAAGAGCTATCTTAAGTTAGAGAGTTTTACACACTGGTTAGGATCTTGGGAGATCATACGAACTCCTTACCAGGATGGTTTCTAGAAGCATAGAAAAAGCATTGGCTCATTTTGAGCAAAGTTAAGTGCCAGGATTACTGTGACAGATGGTAGAAGAAAAGATTTAAAAGGTTGAGGGAAGTGGGTGTGCTGGAATGGATAAACTGGCTGGAATATCCATCAGGTGATTATGTTTTATGGGAAGGCTCAGTGGATACACCATTTAACAAGGCCATGGAGACATGCACTGATGACAAGGCACGAGCATCACTAAAAAGTTTTGTGGTAGCTCTGTAGGCCATTTCTGACAGTGGGAAAGAATGATTATAGAGCTCAGATTGCTGAAGGCAATGCGTGCTAAAACTCTGAATAATAGTGGCCAAGCAGCAGTGCCTAACTGCCCCAAATCAGGGGGTCACAAGTAATGACTATCAAGGGGGGAGTGGTAGTCAAGGGGAACTAACCTGCAGAGACATATAGAGAAGGTTAATACAACGTAGCACCTTTATGGACAAAATAAATGGTTGTCCAACAAGAGTCCTACTGAGTTTGCACCGTTAGAGGAAATCAAGCATGGATGACAGGGAGGTTGAGGGGGGTCACCCCAGTAAAAAGTTCTCTTTGTATTCGTCTGTTTTCTGTTGATATAATAGAATACCACAGACTGAGTGATTTATAAAGAAAGATTTATTAAAGTTCTGGATGGTGGGAAGTCCAACATCAAGGTGCTGGCATCTAGAGAGGGCCTTCTTGCTGTGTCATCCCATGACAGAATGCAAAAGGGCAGGAGAGCACATGCAATAGAGGGAAGGGGGCCAAACTCATCCTTTTTTCTGGAACCCCCTCCTGTGATAGCTAACACACTACTGCAAAAATGACATCAATCCACCTCCTACTCCCCACCTCCCAGCACTGTTGTATTGAGGGATAAGTTTCCTGCACATGAACTTAGGAGAACAAGTTCAAACCATAGTACCATTCCATGCTCACTTTCTGGACCTGAGTCAGTTTTCAGAGAAGGAGCCTACTGACTGCAGAGGTGGTGGTGGTGGATGGCGGGGTCCTAGGAGGAAGGACTCTACAACACCATTGCATCTGTACAATGTAATAATTCTTTCAGTGCTTCCCTAAAGGGACCTACAACCATTTACTCTGGTAATTCTACCCTCAGGAAAGAGGGAATATAAGGCATTTTAAGGAGTGTTGGACGTAGATTCTGAATCAACATTGGTATCCAGAAACTTGGTGTTCTTGTTGCTTCCCTATTAGAGTGAGGAAGGAGTTTGTAAATAAAAGGAATCTCGGCCAAGTTAAGTTACAGTAGTTTCACTGGTGTGTGGAAGATTAAACAGAAACCTCTGAACCTGACCTTGTGCCTCCTACTCACTCCAACCAAGATATTAATAAAAAAAATAGCATCACCCGGAGTAATGGGAGAACTTAGTGCCACCCTTAGCGATCTTAAGAATACAGAGATGATAGTCTCATTACATCTACTTTTTCACCATTCTGGCCCCTGCAGAAACTAAATGGATCTTGGAAGATAACTATAGATGACTGCAAGCTCAACTGAGTAGTAGCCTTGATTGCAACTGCTATACGAGATGTGGTATCTTTGCTAGAGCAGATACATATTGCCCAGGCACATGGAATATCGTCTTGGTTTTTGTAACTGTATTCTCAGTCAGAAAAGGAGATCAGAAATAACTTGCATTCACATGGAATAGAAAAAATACATATTAACAGTTTTGTCCTTACGAACTTTATGCCACACCCCAAATTTTTAGGGTTTCAATGGTGAGAGACAGGCTGGTGCATCATGTTCAAAGTAAAAAAGAACTACATATACTACTTATCCTGAAGAAGAAAGCACAATGCCTGGTGAGCCTCCTTGAGTTCTGGAGGCAGCATACTTTACACCAGTGGATGGTGTTCTGCCCATGTACCAGTTGATGCAAAAGGCTGCCTGCTTTGAGTAGGGCCCACACCAGGAAAGGGCCCTGCAGCAGGGTTGGGTTGCAGTAGAAGCAGCCCTACTTTCTAGACTATAGAGTAGATGCTATAATTATGGAGATATTATTGATGTGAAGTTTGTGGCAAGCTACAGTAGGAGGACCACATGCTGGCCACTAGAGTTCTAGAGGAAGTTAGTGCCATCTGCATTTAGATAGTTATATCCCCCCGGGCCAGACAGCATGTTCTCCAACTTACGAAAGACCTATCTACTTTCAACCACTGCCAAATGTCAAACCTGTCAGCAATAGAGGTTAATGCTGAGCCCCTGATTGGGCATGATTTCTTTAGGAGACAGATCAGATGAGCTATCCTTGAAAGGGCAGTGGTTCATTTTTGGTGGAATGAACCCACATTCTTGGAATGGGTTTGCCTTTCTTTCCTGCAGGGCCTCATCCAGCATCAGTACCTGAGGGCTTATGAAGTGTTTGATTCATTGGCATTAGATCCCACATACATCTGTCAGGTCACATAAAGAAAGTAGTAATAGGTCTGTGGTTTTCAGATCCTCTGGTTGTATCACATACTATACCACCCAGAAGCTTCCTTCCTGATGATATGTTGCAACGGTATAATGAAGACACTGAAGCAGTAGTTCAGGGGCAATATTCCGCAAGGGTTTGATATCATCCTTCAAGTCACAGGTATGCATTGAATCAAAGACATTGCTATACATTGTGTTCCCAGTAGAGGAAATGCATGTGTGGTAAGTTGAATAGTGTCACATCAAAATTCATGTCCACCTGGAACCTCAGAAAGTGACCTTATTTGGAAGTAGGGTCTTTGCAGATGCAATTAAGATGCATCTTTGTTAAGACGAGATCACACTGGGTTAGGGTGGGCCCTAAATCCAAAGACTGAAGTCCTTATAAGAAGAAGAGAGGACACAAAGACATACACACAAGGAAGAAGGCCATGAGAAGATAGAGTTAGAGGTTACAGTGATACGGCTACATGCCAAGGGGATGCCAAGGATTGCTCACAACCACCAGAAGCTGGAAGAGAAACATCAGACAGCTTAGCCCTTAGAACATCCAGAAGGAAGAAACCCTGCCAACACCTTGATTTTGGATTTCTGGCCACCTGAACTATGAGTGAATAAATTTACTGTTGTTTTAAGCCACCCAGTTTGTGGTAATTTGTTACAAATAGCCCTAGGAAACTAATACTCCATAGGAACTAAAGATGGAAGCAGGAGTTGCCATTACTCCTGAAGATTCACTGGGTAATATTGTGCTCCCCATCTCTATGACTAAGTTCTGGATAACTACAATGCTGTGTCTTTAAAGGGGGCACCTTTCTTCAGGAGTTCAATAAGTGCCCCATTGAATTATAAGTTATGCCTGCCAACATGGTATTTGTGGCTTTTTATGTCCACGGCCCAAGAGGCAAAAAGAGAAATCACTGTCTTGGCAGAGATAAGTGACTCTCTTCATCAGAAGGAGGGAGAGTTGCTTTTACAC